GGGGGGGGTGGGGTGGGGGGTGGGGGGGGTTTAACAACGTCTTTGTTGACATTCTTCCACATGATGATCTTTATTGAATATGTGCTTCCAAAGAACCATGTGATACAGATGTTCTGTGTCTGATCTAGTTAGTTAGTTAGTTTGTTTGTTAAATAGATAGCTAGTTAACTAGTTAGCTAGCAAGCTAGCTAGTTAGTGAGTACTATGATGTAGTAGTAGTAGTAGTAGTAGTAGTAGTAGTAGTAATAGTAGTAGAAGTAGTAGTAGTAGTAGAAAAAATGCACAAGCGAGGTAAATTTGCAAGTGCACAAGCGAGATAAATTTCAAGTGCACAAGCGAGTGCTCGCCCTCCAGCAGGTGCCGAAGCTGGAGATATTGCATGCATCATTTGGCCAACGCACACGTAGAATCGTCTCAAGGTTGATTCTGTCTTGCTGTCATGAGGATGTCATCACTGGAAGGGGTGGGCCACCAGGGTATGCCCCACCTGAAGGCCCACTATCCCCAAACCTCCGCACGTCCGCTCGTCATTGAGTCATGCCAGGAGGCTAGGGTGTATATACAAACGATGATGATATTGGCCACGAAGAAGAAGGTGGGCACCTCCCTCAACGGCAGGTATGCAGAGACTTCCACCTGGCCGGGTCTACGAAGAACACGCGAAGAAGATTCATAGCTTGGACGGTGCGAGTAAAAAAATGCGTGGCCGACGACACAGGTACAGTCGGTATAGTATTTTGTGGTCACCTAGTATAGAAGTTGTGAGGTCTTTGGATCACAAAAGGAAGAACATCTTACTCATCAACCATCCTGTCGGATCTGTACGCCACACCCAGATGGTCGGATCGTATGTCCACGGTACAAACCGTGGAACCCGCTCGACCCGCCCGACCTGAGGGTACGGTCACGAGGGTCACTCACAGGCAAAACATGGCTTCCAAAGGGGCAGGGAACGGTGGCACGGTGCGTGCGCGGGGTGCTGTCCACCACAAATGCACGGTGCTGTTTCTGTTGGGCAAGCAAGGTGGCCAAATGGGCAGTAGATATTCTTTCAGCCCACGATCTGTGCTTTGGCCAGTTTCGAAGGATGCCCCGATGGTAGACCGGGATTGGACTCGCAGAGTCCAAATCCCGGATCGAGAACCACTGAGGAGGCTGTTGTTTCCAATGCTGGTACCCCAGTTTCTTCGTTTTCATGATGAACTCACAACCAGTTTCTTTGCTTCTAGGATTCTGGGCAGGACAACCTCTAGTTGCCCAGGTGTGCAGAATGTGAGATGGAGGACCAAGTGACGATACCTGTGCACAAATGCCTCATGCCATCCAACAGCCCTTCAGTAGATTGCTGGGTACTGGATTTTTTCGGGTGAAATGTTGCGTCATGGTCATTTCCGGAGAGGAAAGAACGTACTGGGACAGCAAAGAACACGTCACGCTGGGACAAAGAATTCACCAGGCGTTCCGACCGCACGAATGGCACGAATCCTTCCGAGTCGAATCCGAGCCCCACACCATGTGGGTGTGCTTCAACATTGAGAGACCTCCCAGGCGTTCCAACCCCCCCTCTCTGAAAGCTTTGGACCGGACCAGTCGACCCAGCCGAGCGGTGTTTTCGATGGCCTTGGGTGGTCTCCCGGCCTAGTTCCAATGACACATCACACTGACTCCCTTTCGCCGTTTCCCTAGAGAAAAAAACAAACACTGACCCTTCTTTTCCTTCTTTTTCATCTGTTCATATTTACTGGGGTGTCGCACGTCTCCCCTGACCTGCAGGTGACCTGCAGGTGAGGAACACGTACGAAAACGTAGGAACCCCCAGGCCAATGGACACCCCACGCCAGATACTGGTGGTCCCCAGGATCGATCCTCCGAAACGAGCGTGGTGACCGAGCACGGGGAGCGGGAGGGAGCGGGAGCGAAGGTGGAGCAGCGAACGCACCGGCGCGCCTCAATGCCCAGCAGAATCAAATTCAGGAAGATGATGGACATCATGGCAAACATGAACCGCCCTCGGCGCCAAACATCGCGGAGGAGGCAGAGCCGGAACACACCGGGTGTGTCGGATTTTCCAGGTCGTTGAACGTGTGTGGCAAACGATGTTTTCCAGGGATGTCAAGCACTTTAATGCCTGGGGGAAGGTCTTCTTTCAAAAGCTCTCATGTGTTGGAATTGAGGATGACCGTGCCGTCCATGAAATCATCATGGTTCTGTGGCTAGCCGCGGATGACCACTTTCTTCTACCAACGGGTGGTTTTCGACTTCCATGATTGTTTCAGTCAGTGCATAAGAATCTGCGGACACCAAAGGGGAAGTGCCCGGCCCTTGGCGGCGGCATCCAGCACCGTCACCGGCAACGACAAACAAGGTATATACTCCACATGTGACACATGTGTATCAAGAAACGATCATTTCCCGGCAGCCATATTTGTGTATGTCTGTGGCACGTACGTGGTACGTATGACCACAACAAGACTCCGCACCCAGTGGTCATTCATGTGCGAAAGAGCGGTCCTTTTCAATCAAGCGATGATGGTGACCCCTCAACAGGCATGGTTCTGTTCATCGCAAAAGGCTTGTGAAAACTCCAGAGCCGAAGAAGGAACAAGGGCTTCATGGACATCCGCACTAGATGTATCCAAATCTTGGCAGCCTGCTCAGTCTTAACATTCTGAGCATCCAATAACGCTGGATTTCTTGGATCACATGGACTCCCCAAATGCCATGGCGATGGTGGACTCCCTCATGCCATGCACTTCCTCTCAGAACCCAACGAGAAAAAAGAACGACTCAACGCACGGTCCCTTTTGGGTCCTCCACCTCTTGTTCTCAACGCGAGGAGTGAGCGTTCTCACCTCACGAATCGAACCAACAAAGAGAACGCTCACTCCTCGCGTCGGACTCCTCTCACCCCGGTCTCCCAAGGCACGCGAGGTGACCCAGGCGTAAACCCGTGGTGCCTTCGACTGACGGCTCGCGCCGCGAAGGTCGCTCGCGCGCGGTGGTGGTGGTGGAACCTCCTGGTTGTGTCCCAGGCGGAAGACTTCAATGCATGTCTCCACAACCACTTAGGTAGTTCATGTATACCAACACCCTCCAACAGGTCTGCTCTGGAGGCTTTTGCTGACCTAAAAGTCGCAGGTGGTGACCTGTTGGAGGGTGCTGGTAGTTAATGTATAGTTGGATGAGGCGGTAGATGAGGCGGTTCGTTCTAGGAGTTAGACTGTGATATTGAAAGAACCGACACGACGAGGTGGTCCAAGTGGGGAGAATCTATTCATCAACCGTCTACACTGTCTAGACATAACCATACACATTAACTACCACCACCCTCCAACAGGTCACCACCTGCGACCTTTAGGTGAGTAAAAGCCTCCATTTCGGAGACCTGTTGGAGGGTGCTGGTAGTGGTCCCCAAATAGATCGAAAAGGCTTCCAATCCATTTTGAAAAGGCATTTAAATGTTTTGGGCACCAAAGAACCCTTGAAACCTCTTGAAACAGCCACGCCCCCAGCTGATCGGCAGATCAGGGAACTTCCTGTTATGGACCCATTCATGCAACCCTAAGGATCAAGGACCCTCAGTTCGGTGAAGTTTTTGAGGGTCCAAACCCCTGCTATCAATGATCCTTAGGGAAGGGTTCCATACAAGCCCGTCCTACAACAATCGTGCCCTGGGTTGGCCTGAGCAGTCAACATGCGTGAGATGGACATCAACCGAATTTGAGAAGTTTTACATGGCGAGATGACCAAACTCGTATTCTCTAATACCTACCTGGTCTACCTCTTCGACCGCTGGTCTACCTCTTACTTAACTCCTCGATCAGATGCACCATGCCCTTGATGTTGCGTTCGCCCGCTTCGTTCGTTTCGCCCAAGAGACCCATGTGTTCGACTCCTCCACTTGGACGTTATAGCGGCCTGATCTCCGCGGGGGTGGTCGACATGGACGACCCCGAATCGCAGCTGGCAGTGGGGCGCCCTAAATAGACACCCCGAAGTGGGAGGGTGCTGGTATATTATTGCAAATGAAACAACATTCGAGGCATATACCAATCCAGTGCTGGACATGGATCTCGGACTTCATCAACTAAGGGTCATGTCCTGACCGTCGGCACCGGATCAATGAAGGCGAATGCGGGTGCCGCTGTCCCGGTGGAGTCGATGGTCGCATCCGGAGTGCCAAGAGGGGAATGCAACTGGTTTCGTTCTCCGTTCATGTCTCCTGAACGGAAGATGGGGCTGTGTTCACTGGACCTTCGCAGGGGGGGTCCGAACCTTCGATGACGGGCTCGACCGGTCGCGCTCGATCTTCTCCGCGCGGCTGGCGCGGCTGGCGAGATTCACGGCGCTCTCCGTGATGCGCTGCATCGCTGCCTTTGTGGCCCGCTCCTGGTGAGGGAGACGTCCGGCTCGCGCCAGCCAACTCGAAGTCCGGGAACGGCAAGTCGAGCGCTTGCGTTTGCTACGTCTTGAAGACAAACCCGTGAAGTGAGCTGAAGTCACCAGCTGTGAAGTCACTCAGATTGATGAGCTGGTGGTTCAGGTGCTCAGCTACCAACTGGCAAAGGTGCCGAGTAGCAATCATAAGCCAGACACTCCATGTACGGAACAGTTACCCATGCAATGTATGTAACGAAAAACCTCCATTTTCCCCATGGAACGGGCCCATCCATGTATCTCACTGTTCCAATCCGGATGATCTGGTCTGGGTCATGAATAGTACCGACCACGGTGCTTCCACTCGGAGCTTTGGAGAAAGAAGACGACATGAAAACACCTGATCCAAACGCCAAGTCTGGACCCTCCGTTCAGTGACACCTTCATATCTGGAGGGCATCGGACCCGAACCCATCCCGTTTCGAGGGACCGGGAACGGGCTGTTTTCACGGAGGGTCTGGAGAAGGACCTTTATGGTTGTATAGGGGTGAAGCTTTGAAACCTTTGCAGCTGGAAGAGTATGAAGGACCTGGAACTCTTCCCTTTCCGGATGCGGCGTGGAACCCCAAAAGCGAACTCCAAACCGCTCGGCTCGACCCCCAGCTGTCATCGCGTGCTCCGCATCGCCAGTTTCGTGTGTCGCCTGGTACTTGGCCGCTTTGCCGCGCACGAAGGTGAACCGCGCGGTGTTCCGCCTCGGCCGCCGTGAGGTCACGCGCCCAAGGCCATGTGGCTCTGAGGAACAGTGGAGCCAAAATAGAGGGGGGACTGCCCATATAAGCAGCTGCACATATATAACATAAGGTGAAGAACAAAGTGATGGACGAAAGACTTTTCTTTAACCAAAAGCAAGAATGCAACATAATGCATGCGTGAAGACAACCGTGGCTGGAAGTTCATGAAATGCTTCAGAGCTGCACCAAAGGGAACTACCAAACCAAGTAGCAGGAGTCACAAAGGTGTGGTTTTTAGTCCCTAAGTGAGTGGATAATGGGCACCCCTAACCTCCATGGATAGCACCCCTTTCTGACTGCTGGTACTTGAAGGTTGATAGAATCCCGTCTGGGCACGGTTCACAAGACAGACTGTACGACGTAGTCCTGGACCACTTCTGTGCAGCTGACAAACCCCAAGCAGAGCTGTTTGAGCTACCGGCTTCGCTCAATCACCACAACCAAGAGAGGTTTTGTCGTTCTTCGCCCTTTTCGTTTGCCCTATGTATACACCCCGTTTCGGGCGTGCGCGTTCGTTCAGGTCTCTCCCAACCCTCTCTTGGAAGGACATTTCTGCACCACACCGCACCACACCGGATGAGTTCGGCAGCGATGCCGCCGGAACAAGCCAAGACGACAGAGACTCGGACTATTAGGCCTCTCTTGGAAGAGCCACGCGGATTCTCCGTTCGCCCAGTTCGACCGCCCTTTGGTTCGCCCAGTTCGCCAGACCTGCGCCGATCTTCCGAGGAGATCGGTCTGGTGCCGCGAAATCGCGTCGCAACGTCTCCAAACGTCAGGGAGACCGAAGGATTGGTCCCTCGGCGAGAAAAGCACCCGAAGCAACGCCTGTTTCCTCTGAAAAGAGATGACTTGCTCTTGGAGCCAATAGATACCCCATGCTTCACTCAGTGGTCCGGATTTTTCTAGCGCCGACAACAGTGGCCTTTTCAGCGACGCTGCGATTGTCCGCTCAGCTGCGACTCTGCCGTTCACGTGCGTCGGAGCGGCGGCTTTGGCACTTCAACATGAACGGTTGACTCTGGCGTCGGAGTCTCCGAACTCTGGCGTTTGCTTCAACTCGACGACTGAGTCGTCTACACCGTCTTCGCCGCTGGGCCACCGGCGTCGTCAGTTGGACTCCGAAGCGGTTCAGGACCACTCCAAGAGCTGGTGCCGTCTGGACGGTCAGGACACCGTCCCCATGGGACGTGCCTGTGCTCCGCTGAAGACCAAAACCTTCCGGACCATCGAAACCCCACGAGTGGTCTTGCGGTACCACCGATGTCCCAAAAACACGTTGGATTATGTTGGATTAACGTTGATACTTCATGTTCAACATGTAGATGCTGCAGCATGGCAGCCTCAATTATCACAAGATGGGGGTCCGCCCTTTCCCAAACGTGGTTCAATCGTGACCGCTCTCAAAAGTATAGGTACCAGCCTCAATCCGTGACCTAGCTTTGACCATGAATATGAAGGCAGACTGTCGACCTGATTCTTGTGGTCTGAATTCCGAATCCTTCCCTAGTCAACCAAATGGTTGCTTGGTAGAGCTCACCAAGGCCGCCACTGTGATTGCGAGGAGGTCGCTTCGACCACTGGGATGGCATCGGTATTGATGGTCCTCGCGCGAGCGGCCGCGCCGGAGGAGACGGAGGAACATGCGGAAAGTGAAGCATATGACTTCAAATCAACCTGGATGTGATGCATTTTGAACATGGGGAGGCTCCCCATGTTAACAACATGGACTTCGTGTTTTGGGATGTTCCCAGAGGTATTTGCGGGGTCTCCATTTCTTCATACACACCCTTGCACATGGCCAGCCGATCTTCCCTGAAAAACACCAATCTTTTCCCACAAACCATCCCAACCAGGTGTCCCCCGAAAAAAACGATACCTCCCACCATGCAATGGGTGTCCAATTTGTCAATCCCTTAAGGAGTGTAGGGTCGTCCAGCCAGGACACCCAAACAGGATGGTCAGTTTCAGAGCAGGTGTTCGGTCGCACCGAAACGAGTCCTTGAGACCCAGGACGCGTTCATCGGCGCGGAGCGCTCGGACGGCGCTCGGACCGCGCTCGGACCGCGCTCATCGCGTGGTGAAGGACCGCGGCGGGCGGGTCCTCATCAGTGTCATCGAGGTGGTGTGCGACACGCCGCTTTCGCGGACCTGCCCCAGCACCTGAACTCGTGCACTTTCACGGGCGGAGGTTGGGAGGGCGGCAGTTTGGTTGGGGCCAGGTGTTGCGGTTGCGAAGGAACAAAAAGGGACCCATGGAATGGAAGCTTTAGGACTTTGGGGAGAACAGCACTAGCCGTGAAGCAACAAAAAGCAATGACTTCCTTTTTGGGAATTTCAATTGAGATGGTGGGACTTAGAACGAACACCTAATGGGACGAAGTAAGTGGTATCTTCCCTCTGACCCTGCTTGGGCCAAAGATCAAATTGCTTCCAGAAGCGAGAAGTGATCTCCCCTCTGACGGGCAGCAATCCCAGCACGCAAATCGTACACGCCGTACGATGGGGGTACGAGGATGCAAATGAACTCGCATTGCTGCCTGCCGTGAGTGCCGTCGAATAGTTTAATTGCATTTCGACTATGGCATTCGGTGTCAAAACATATTGTGGCCGATCAACAACGAAACTGTTCTTCAACGACGAAACTGTCGCACCACCAAAAAGTAATCTCTGCCCTGTTGAGAAACGACACGCCTTTTCAAAACGCTTTACGCCGGCTCCGCCCTCAACCCACGGAACCTTAGCAACCATTCCCATAGCGTCCTCCATCCCGTGAAGGCACATTGGGCAATGCCTTCTCATTCAATGCTGACACGTCTCTCGCTTTTGCCCAGAAATCCCGGCTTACGAACGTGTTTGAACATTCATGAAGATTTAAACCCAAGATACTCCATCTAGGATTGGCCACATCTAAAAGAAGGTGAATCTCACCACTTTTCTTTGTTGCTCACAACTGCTACGAGCGGCACGGATGAGGAGTCCGATCCCTGAGGCTTCCGGCATCCTCTTCATCTTCTTCCTGAGCAATTGAACATCTGAGAAATGAGTGATGTCATCAAACACCTGGCAGAACACCCGCACACCATACACACGGAATCTATAGAGGATTGTAAATATGAATTGCACCAAACTAAGGAGTATGAATGGCCATTCTTCAATGGCCATTGGAGATTATTGACATGGTTTGATGCTGAAAAGAGATGGCAAGCAAACCACTGCTGCCTGGAAACTTCTAGACGAGAAACAGAGGCTCCACAAGTGATGTTCCATCGGGCCATCCATGGATCGCGCTGGAAAGTGAAGGTAAAACATCACCTGGAGCCTGGAGCCCTAGCAAAAGCCATTGTTGCCTGGTGAAGATCCCATCACAAACAGGTGGTTGACTCCTATTGCGTTGGACGCCACCCACCCACGCGGCTAACGAATCTTGGGACATCAGGGGGCTGGGCCGCTTGGGAGTATGTCATGGGCTGCACATGGAGGGAAGGGACATGAGAATCCCGGATGACTATCAACCTATGTGGTGTTCAGACCGGGAACTAATCCAAGATTCGACCTCCTCTTCCTCCTCTTCCTCTTCTTCAGGCTGCTCATTCTCGTCTTCCTGAACAAAGGCATCAGTGGCTGCTGCAAGACGTTGTCGCCAAAGGTAAAGGAAGAGGTGTATTGGTGGGGGGTTCCTTATTAAAATACAAACTCATTGGCATAAGGGAGACCCTGCATTTTTGCAGGCTTTGGAAACTCTTCCTACTTCAATACACACCTAGGGAACAAAGCACCTTGAGTTCCGTTCTTTTTCACTACACATGGTACCAACCACCTCAACACAAGGAGGTCGGTGAATGACCTCGGCAAGACCTGTGTTATACATGGTAAATACCAAGAACACCTTGGACGGTTTTTTTTGGTTTGGGTGAGTTGCGGTAAATTGTGCTAGTCTTGCATCTCAAGATTCTTGAAACGTACCAACTTCTCTGCCTCACCCCCCCAAGGAGTTTGGTAAATCGAAGTGTCCCGATTTGAGTGGGAAGACAAATCCACCAAAAAGCTTGGGCAACTGATCCTCTTTTCCGTGGTTGACTCGGTCCGGTTCGCTGTTTGCCAAGCTCATTCTACGGATTCTCTACTCTAAGTTGCCTCAGTGCAATGATTCTCCATCTCCTCCAATCCACTTCATCTACCCATGCGCAGGTCGACATCTTATTCCACTCACCGCCCGACATCAGGTGGGTTGCCCGATGTGAGAAGAAACAGGATGACGTCAGAGGATCGAACGGCGGTGTGATATCTATCCTCCGCCTGTGGTGTTTCTCTATACCCTTCAGGTCCCCTAGTCAGACCATTCTTTTTATAGTCTTTGACTCCCAGGGTATATATATATAGACCTGATCCATTTGGGTAGGTATTTAAGAATCGGGAGACACCGAGTCCCTAGTGGAGTTTGATCGATTTTGCGAACCTTCCAGGAGGGGTCGTTGCCTGGGAGGTCTCCCTATTTTTAATACACACCGTTACACACCCAGTTTTCTTCGATATGTTTTGACGCCAAGGGATTCAAGAAGTGACTGATAGTGACTGGCTCCACGCAAGTGGAGAGTGAAGTAACTACCCGGGGTCGGTAGGGCCCCAGTCCTGCCTGTTTCTGGTTCGGGTCACGTCCCAAACGTTGCCAACGATAACCATCAGCGTCTCTGAACCACGGTTCTCGCTTTGTCTCGACTGTTTCGTGCGAGAGATGCAAGTCGACGAACTTCTGCCAGAAATGGATCACTTCGAGACTTGCATTTGGTTCATCGAGACTTCGATATAGATAGACTGCTCATCCAGGAGGTTTCACAACATCTGTTCCTTCGACTTCATCCCTAGGGATCCGAGGCTCCGCTCCGAACCTCAGGTGATGTGTACACGAGGCTCTGAGGTTCCGGTACGAAAACGGATCCCTAGGGTAGAGGGACTTCCTTTTGTTTCGCCCTACGACGGGGCGAAACGTGGCCGACTGGTCGACGAGGCTCTTTTGGTTTCTCGAACTGAACGCGAACTCAAACGGTCGAAAGGTGGCTCGGCCTGGGAGGTCTTCCATTTTAACATCCAAGATGGGTATTAGGGGGACACCCTGGCCCGGTTTTGATCTATTTTCCGAACCGAACCCAGGTCTTGGTCGGAGGACTCCCGTTTTGGTTCACACCCAAATCTATCTCAACAACTCTTGCTTGGGAGGGGGATCCAGACATCGGTCTTCTTTGACGAACATGGAACGCAGCTTTCTCGCAATCCAGGGAACGTCCAAACCTCTTCTTCCCATCTTATACTATGTTAGCTTCGGACTCTCCAAACTGCTCCAAGATCTGATCCCAACACACCCCCAAAAATCTGCGTCCCATCTCCCAAACCTCCTGGCCCCAAAAGTCCTCGCTGGCGTCGCCACCTCCCGCGCTCCACGCACCGCGCTCCGCTGGGCCTCGTCCAGGTGCACCGAGACCAGCTCCGGCAGCTCGCTGCGGCGCAGCTCGCCGACGCTCCGACGCTCGGAGGCGGCCACCGAGGCCTCGGCCAGCGCGGGACGGCAGGCGGGGACGGCGGGGACGGCGACGTCTCTCTCTCTCTCTCTCTCCCTACAGAGGATACAGAGGTGGGTGAAGTGACCTGAACTAGGACGAAAACCAGGGGTACCTAATTATGGGATAGTCGAACAGTCGGGTCCTTCAACCTCTGCTGGTCTCTCTCTCTCTCTCTCTTCAAAATGAAGTTCTCCTAAGTGTCATTGGTCATTGGGTGGGGGAGATGGTTTTATTTTTGACATGTTCGACCTGGATGCGACCGACATTGACTGTTGGCGAAGTGTTCCTTCAGAACGTGTTGGAGAGAAAGGCACTTGTTTCTAGTAGCGTGGCACTTGTTTCTACTAGCTTCTTGTTACTACTAGTAAGGCACTTGTTACTAGAAGCGATGCACTTGAAATGTCCCTAAAAATTCAACGCCCCACATCCTCTCCTCCCCTTCTGCCAGGCAACGACCGTCGAGGGGCGCTCCGAGCAACGTTCCTGCCGTTTCACGGCTCCGGTCTTCGCGGCGACCGAAAGGGAGATCTGCCCAGCTGCGGACGAGAACCATCTCCGTGGCGAACCAAGTCCAACGTTAAACCATCTCCGTGGGTCTAAGAATGGGTCCGTAAGCCTGAAACATGTTGAGACCCGAATGGCACGTTCTGACCCGAGAAAACACTGGCCTCGTCAGTGCGTCATGTCACAGTGAAACCGTACAGGTCAAATTCAAGACTCTCATTGGACTGGACTTGGTCAAAGACCTTCACTACCCAGGGAGCTGAGCAGTCCGGCAGACCGGCTTCTCACTAGAGGTTTCAAGTGGTGCTCAGCAGCAAGTGCTGCTGGCGATGAGGGGGGTTGGTTGCCATACGGATTGCCTGGAGTCTACGTCACAGTCGACCTGGTCGGGTGCAAACAACGGGGACAGCCGACCTGATGTGAACCCTGTGGGCCCCTAGCCCTAGCTCCGCATCCGCGCGGATGCGCCAGCTGCACCGGGATGCCTTGTGGACCACGCTATTTCCTCGGGTCCCTCAGCTGCCAAACGCGTGGAAGAAACCGTGGCTTAGTTGCTGGCCGGAGAGTTTGTGTGAGTTGGTCGAGTTGTCGTACGTACGGACGTACGTACGTACAGTAGGTTCAAAAAATGTCTCCAAACCAAGTTTCGTGGTGCTTTGCAGAAGCGTTTTGCCTTTGCCAAGGCTGCAGGTAAAGGAACTATCAAACATTTTGGATGAGATCTATATCACTACTCTAATGGCATCTGTGCATGTTCTCTTAAAGCCATTGTCACCTCACTTTGGAAGTCATTCCTTTAGATTGGAGGCCATTGCTCTTAGGTTGGAGGCCTCGCTAGTGGGTTGGAGGCCATCGCTAGTATAATTGGGCCATTGCTAGTAGGTTGGAGGCCATTGGGATTCATTCCTTTTGATGGAGGACTTGGCAACCAGCTCCGCCAGGTTTGTCCTTCCCCCAGTTCACGAGTTTCTTCCGTAGCCTAAGGACCTTTTTGTAGCTCCAAGGGTAGGAGGACCGTGATGAGTGGATGAACCTTGGTGCTTTCACAGATTCCTTCAATTTCCCTGCAAAACCGGGACGGCTCCTTTTCGACCTGTTCTGGTTTGGTGGGGACAGCACTCCCCCAAAAACGGTTTTGCAATGTTTTGCACTCAACTCGCTTGAAACATCTTCGTCTGCGGGAAATTAGGAACTGAACCCTACTTCTCGCGCTTCCTGTCGGAGTGTCCTGTCTGAAGACCTACAAAACAGCTGGGCAGGACCCCTGTAATTAAGGAAGCAGCTAGTGGGAACGTTCCTTACTCAAAACAGAAGTGCCGGTGATTTTATTTCACCTCTTCATGTAGACTCTTGATTAAAAACCCTCCATCCGGATTGAACCATTCTCTTCAGATGGGAGGTTTATAAATCACTCGAGTCTATAATATAGTCTATATACATGTATATACAGTCTAGTCTATACCCCTAGGGCTCCAAGTACGTTTTAAGAAGGTTTTGGGGTGGGTTTAGAGGGTCCAAATACCTTCTGAGGAGGTCAAGCTGGAGCCCTAGGGTACATATGACGCCCATTCGATCTCCCTCGCGCGCCCATTGGGATCAAACCCACCACTTCTACACGCACCGGCCGACCGACCGGTCGCGGAAACCGCACTTCTGGTCCCGTTGGTTGGAAACCGCAGCGACTCACGTGACCGGCGATCGAACGAGCGGCGATTGAACTCCCGGATGAGCAGGCTGCTGGAGGAATTGAATTGCGCCTGAACGAGCAAGCGAGATCGGTGGGGACAACGACCGGTCCACCGGTAGGTAGGTTGTGTCCGGTGGGTCTCCTGGTTGAAGCACTCACAGCCACATTCCCTTGCAGTCTTCCCATTGCCCCGGTGAACTCAGGGATCTGTGTGGGAGATGAAGTGACTGAAAGTGACTGACGCAAAGCCCATTCCAACGATGATCTTTTCGATGCTGTAGCGTTTCATCAGATTTTGACGTCCAACCCAAACAGTCATACTCCCTGAAATCATCATGGTCACGTGATGTTACATGGATGGCATGGCCACGTGTTAGGTGAAATCTGAATACATCTGAATACCAAACAGGTGGTGGTTTTCACTCTACTTCACCAAACACCCCATGGGACTGTCATAGGACTGCCGATATACATTGACCCCTCAAACCACCACCACCCCTGGCCGTTTCTCGGCAAATAGACCAGTCCCATGGATGTGTATCTTCTATGAGTTCAAGGAGTGTCATCTCGGGCTCACTCGCGATTCTGAGCTGGAGCTTCTCAGGTGGAGCCCACCCACTTCTCCGCTCTTGAAGACACGCCGAGCAAAACCGATCATGCGACCCATCATGCCACGGTCTTCCTTTTGCTCCGTTCGTAGCTTCAATGGTGCCGTTCGTAAGGCCAGGAGCGCCCCGTTCGCGTCGCGTCGCGTCGCGTCCCATCGCTCCGTGCCTCCGTCGCGACGATGCCGCTCCGTGCTCCGTCGCTTCTTCGGAACAAAAACCCCAACGAACCAGATGCCGACCGACCTTCTTCGCCGACCGAACTCCTCCACGGACGGGCGGGCCGAACGCTCCGCTCCGTGGATCCGCTTCCTCCCAGTTCCACGTCTCGTCTCGTTCGTGTGACGGAAGCCCCGCGCCTGGATGAAGACCTGCGAAACAAGGGCGAACGGGGTGGAACCAGCGGCAACGGTGAGGTGCAAGCGGTCGGTAATTCGGTTGATCCAGTCATGTCATGGTGATGGATCCTATCATCTCTCCTATCCGGTCTGGGTCTATTTTAATTTGTGATACATCCTCGACAAGCTGAATGAAAAGCGCCAGTGAAATGGCGAGTCGGTTCATCTGTTTCACTTTGGGAGGTGATATTTGAATATATTTGATGTGGTCGTGAAGACTAGCCTGGCCCAAATCTACAGTCCAAAACATGCAGGTACTTATTTATACCAGGAGTCAGGTGTTTAGTCCCATCCAGTGAGTGGATGTTCTGGGCACACCGACTACCTCCATGGATAGCACCCCGTCTTGTGACTCCTGGTACTTATTTATATATTATATTCTTTGCAAAACAAATGGACACCGGCTCCGTCCTGCAGCACTTGAATATATGAAGAAGGCTTGTGCGATCACTTCTTTGGTGTGATGAGGTAATGTTGTATCATTGTGGCTAGGAGCAGCAAACCTTGGACGAAAAACAAAAACTTGCCAGTGCTTGTAGTGGCTTCACAAAAGATCTGAACTTAGCTGACAAAATAATGCGTTTTGGTGCAATAAGGGGGACAAAGCCAATTCACACCAACTTACACCAGGATCAATCCAGATCCTTTCTGTAGCTGGTTCTGACCCTGAAGAGGTTGCAAGCGCAAATGCTTCCAAAAGGTTATGGACATTCCAGCACCCCAATTGTATGAATGAGCCACTTGTTGCATGTACACTGGGAACTGTGATCCCTTCTGACTCTCTCAGCCTCCCTTGGAAGAAAAGAGGGGTAAGCCATGGTAAGCCTTTGTTCATCTTCATTTTGAGTGGGACACCCTTCCAAAGGTGACCTGCAGCTTATCCCGGAGAAGCCTTCCACCGCTCTCTCTGTTCCACAGGCTCCGCGCCGCGTCGCGCCCGCTGCGTGAAACCGGAAGCTGCCTGCAGCTCCTCCATGGCCTCCGTCAAGCGCGCCAGGTGTTCCTGATTCATTGGATTAGGTGGACTGGACCAGCCTAGACGAAAACCTCATGGCCCATGGCGATCCCAGGTCGGTCCAGACCGGCTGTGGGTGATGGTGTTTGGCCCAAAAAGGCCGGGTTGACCCAGATCGCCATGAAGAGAATGGACGACCTGACCAATAGTGTCAAGGTACTACCCTGGTGAGTTCGGGGATCTAGGTGCCAGCTCCCCAGATCGCCATCAGCCATCGCATGTGATTCCGGAATGATGTGATTCACTCTCTTTTTTTTGATCCACATACCATACCTGAGCAAGTGAGCAGAGATGGCAGGCGATCTGGGAGGCTCCAGAAAAAAAACGGAACCTGAGGTTCGGTATGTGGATCCCTATTTGGATCCCGCTTGAATCTTGCAGGATCGGATCCAGTGCCAGCCTGCAAACAGTCTCCAAATCCTACTACCAGGCGCACCCCAAAACTACCAAACATCCAAGAATGCCATGGCATTCGGACTCATGTGGTTTCCAAAACAAACGGAAACATGTCATTTTCTCGATGGAACCCAGGATTGGCAGTGGGTCAAAACTGGGGAGACCCTGGAAGCGAGGCCAACAGCGAATGACCGGCGTCATGAAACCGAGCCAAACCCACCGCTTGAGAGCTTGCCCCATCCGCCATCCTATGCTTGCAATTATACCATATGCATGTACAAATTTCACTAGTTCGGGTCCCAGTTCAATGTCTCCAAAAACCCTCTCTTGGCAATTGCTCTCTCTTCGCATGCCATCCTCCGCCTCATTCCAAGGCACATTCCGCTGCTCCTCCAGCACTTGCGCCAGCTCCGCAGGGTCCATCGTGACGCGATAAGCTCCGCGCTGCCGATGGAAGATCCAGGATTCTGTGCTGGAGGGCACTAGCAGTCACTAGCAGGATAAGTTGAATGCTTCCAGGTGTACCGCAAAACAGGTGGAGAAGCATTCAACTGTATCACGTGTTGGGCAGTATCACTGTATCACTCTCTGAATTGGGGGGGTGCGTTCCAGTTTCCAGGCCTTGTTATGGGTATCCTTTTTGGGCCAAGGACTTCTTTGCACCTGTCACAGAACAAATAGCCACATGATTCCCTGGTCTATCTCCTCGTCGACTCTCAGCTCTTCAAATAGTGATGTCGCTTGGACCATCAGGCTGTTGCGACCATCCTTTTCTTACAAAAACCAGGTCAACATACCAAGTCTTGGGCCTCTTTCCTGATCTCAAATGCTCATCACGGGAGCGCATGACCGTGGACCGTGGCTACTCACCACGAATGCTGAGTGGACAAACTTTAATAGACAGAGATCTCTCTTCTCACGGATCCAAGCCACATAGACTCAGGTGAATGATCTTGGATTGCGGAGGGCGAAAAGAGAGACGTGGAGACTGTATAAGTTCTCATGAGACTCCAGTGTATCTCAGACTGAGTCATGGAGAACGTCCGCACGACTCACGTGGCATTCGGACTGATGTTCGTTCTGCATGCTTCCAAATGGCTTCCTCTGCACGAATCTCTATCTGTGCCAAGACAGCCACATGGAGCGGTGTCGGGCGAGGTTCATGCCCCAGACCGAACGAAGTTCCTGAAAAACTGGTGGCCGCCTTTGTTTTTCTCTGGGGGTCTTCACTTGCCAAAGAGCCCAAAAAGCACCCCCAACTTCGATCAAAACCTGGAAAATGGAGAGAAGTCCGCCAAAACGCGGTCCACCGGCGGTTTTCGAAGCGGGAGGAGAAACTTGGGCATGGTCCCTAAATGTTCTGAACTGGGAGGAGGTTGGGCACGGTCGCTATCCTAAATCGCTTAAGGAAACAACATAGGATGGCCCATCGGTCGCCCCAAGCAAAAGGGTGGTTTTGCACAAGGCAAACATCACATCGATTGGAAGAGACCCATGGGACTGCCAGTCCGGACTGCCTTCAAAACGGCCAGGGGTGGTGGTTTGGGGGGTCTGGCTTGACCGGCATATATGGTAGACATGGAGTGTATGGGTGTCTTAACATGAACATCATCGACCTGAGCCGTTCGTTACAGTCTCGTGATTTGTGACCGTTCGACAGTCTGACCCTTTATGGGTCGACATGTGGCCTTTATCCGAGATCAAGAACGGTCACTTGGAAGGTCCTAGAGGATGCCCCCCTGACAAAAATCCATTTCCGATGCTTTTGGTCAGTTTTTCGCGTTCAAGATCTGCAAAGTAAACTAGAATCGGAGTCAACTAATTAACACATCACAACACCCCACCTGTGTTGGTCTTCCCTTGCGCGTAGAACGCAGAGTCTCGAATGGATGCGATTATGTGCATGCACACCCAAAGGTGTTGGGAATCTTGGACTGGGACAAGCAGTGTGAAACATCCGGCATGAACAGCGAACACGCAAGATCTTCAAGTTTGTTTTGTGACATTTGGATACAAAACTCCCCACAAAGCTTTCAACACACTAATTCTTAGTGCAATCCAACGTAATTTCTCACCTGCTCCAAAGCGTATACACTCAAAGACATATATGTTTGCACCAAAAAGGGCCACTCCATGTCCTCGCCCTTTGCATTTATGTCAGATGGTCTGTCAGTTTCCCAAACACTCCATGTATGGTATATTTACCTACATTCTGGTGGGTTGAGGGGTCAATTCACCGGCATATACGACAAACATGGAGTGTCTGGGTTATATATACTTCCGTTTTCCAACCGCGACCCTCCTGCCCAGTTCCTCGTTTGCGTGCCGACCAGCTCGGCAGGATCGCGCTGAACCCAGGACTCGCGAACGCGAACGCGGCGTGGTGTCCGGCCTTTGCTGGGTTTGACCTTGGTCTTGTTCTTGGCCGCCACGTCCGGCTCGATGCGCGTCAAGGGATTCCCCTCCAAGATCCTGGGGGAGTGGCTTCCTTCGAGGATTGGAGAGGTGTGTTATGGTGTGTGGGGTGAGGTGGAGGTAAACAGTGAGGACTTGACAAAAGCCGCCTGGGCGACTTTCAAAAGACCTTATTTGGTGTCTATCCATCGAGAACCTATTTTCGGGCTCAAGGCCCTGCAGTCTGCTGATTGATGAAGAAGCATGAAGTCACGAAGTCTGTCACCGGCTTCCAATGTGCCTTCCTGGACAAAGTCGAGAAGTGAACAAACTTAATGCATTTGGAATTTTATTTGGAATGTCACGTCGAACATTGCTGGATAAAGCTTGGAACTTGTTCGAACTGGAGAATCCACTCAGCAGAGTCCGTGTGATATCGGTTGCTGGGGAGATTGATTGTAGGTAGAATGTGGCAAAACGGTTGGGGAGCTTCAATCATAGCCATGTGAGAGATCAATCTTAAGTCTTAAGGTTGCCAATCTGTTTCCGCAGGAAGTATCCCAGTACAGTCACTCAAGCACTCGATGTATGGCAGCTTCACCAAGCTCAGCTCACAGGTGTCCCTTTGGCACCCAAGAGAGGTGCCGCCAGGAACCCCAGGAACCGCCAGTTCTTCAATCCAAAAGTCAAACCAATTTCTCCCAAACATCATGCCATGTTTCTTGGCAAAAACACCCCCCCCAGTTCGCACCAACACTGGAGCATGAACACATCCGTAGGCAACAGTCTCATCCGACTCGCCCAAAAAGCGGCCGTGTGGAGCACGAATGGGTGTGGCGCCAAGCATCTCTCTGAGTTCGTGGTTCTTAATGTGCTGAAGAATGTCGACCCATCGGCCATCCGACCGCTGAAAGCAGTTGAAGTGGAACTGCCCTGAAGGCGCCGAAGCACACGCAGGCGCAGAAGCACAAACTGCGCTCCGAGTGTGTGCTTGGAGGACCGCCAGTAGATGCGAGAAGACCGCGGAGGTCGTCAGTTGCTACTCGTTTTGCATTGGCTTGGAGATGACCCAACACATATGGTGTCGCTCTTTAAGTTACAGGCCATCCAATCTGACCCGGTTTGAGAACAGAAACTCTTCCCAGCTCAACGACTTCTCTCTGTCCAGCTCTGGACCCTTGGGTCATTGGACCCTGCCCAACTGCTCTACATTTGCGACGAAGGACCGGTGGCGAAGGACCGGAATTGGAGACCAGTACCCTGGTGAGGCCCTGGTCACTCCTTGAGACCGAGGGCCCAACAAGTTGGTATTGGGAGCAACACTTCCCTCATCTTCATCCTGATTCCATACGTCGGACTGCGTCGCACCAGTCGGACGGACTGCGCCGGTCGGAGGGGGTCACACCCACTTCGTGGCGACATGGCTGGTGGGTCATGGCACTAGCCACACCGACCCCAACGTTGAGGTCTCCTACCCTGGTGGAAGGAAAGCCCCTTGCTACAGGGTGGACTGTCGTTGGTGGTGCCATGACCCATCTGACCCATCCCCAGATGCAAAACATCCCAGTTGCCATGGTCATTTGCTATGCATCCACTAGCTTCGGGTTTCGGAGCGATGTGCCAAGACACTCTGAGTTCGGCCGGAGCCGGAAGGTATATACTTGGATCGCTGGTGCTATTGGTTGGTTGATTCATAGACGGGACATCCCTCGTGTACAACCAGTTGGTATATGGTTCCTTCCGCATCTGTGGCAGCTCCCCGTTCGCATCTCGCAGAGGTGTCTGGGTGTTCATCCCATGTCTGGCCCATCCCGGTGCCAGACACGACTTGTCTGCCACAAACTCACATACATTGGGGCGGTTGAAAAGGAGTCTTTCTGGGCTAGCATATAGTCCAGTCCCATTGGAGTGTTTGGGCACGCAGTTCTAGAACAGTCCCCAGGATTTTTCTACGATTTTCGTCTTGTTGCTTCAATTGGGGTTCACCCCAATCCGCCCCAAAGGTTCGCTTTGGGCCGAAAGGGCGTCCACATCGAGATGGGAGACCACCGACACAGTCTCGCCTTGCATGTAGCGGCCGCCGTCGAAGCGGCTGTCGAAGCGTCCCTGGCCATGGAGGGCGCCCGCGTTCCAGCTGCCCTCGTAGCTGCTGCCATCGGGCCAGACCTGTCCAGATGTCCACGAGATGCTTCGCGGATGGACTGAAGGAGCAAGAGGAGTCTGGTCGAGGTTGGAACAGTCGGGTGAACCAAGAAACACCAGACTCTGGTCAGTCCATGCAGTAGTTTGGATCAGAAAATTCTAACATATTCCAAGTCCCTGGTTCTTCAAAGTGACCGTACTTGATATCCCTGTTTGAGGTCACTTGGGCCTGTAAAAGGTCACTGGATGGCACTCCAAAGAGGTCACTTTGAAGAAGCTGGTCTGACATAAAAGAAAACAGAAGCAACTACGGCCGAGCTTTCTCCCAAAGCGATTCTGAATTAGATTGAACCCCCCTAGAGTCTTCTCCACTCATCCCACGACGCCAAGAGCTGACTCAATGATTCTAGAACAAAAACACTCCACAAACCCCTTTTTTCCAGTGTTCCTTTTCAGAACAAACACTTCCAAGAGTTCGTTTGGTCGTTCTTTTTTCTCTTGGTTTTACTCCTGGTCCGGTTCAGTCCAAAACGAAAAAAAAACAACCGCTGTCGAACGCTGTCTTCGTTGTTACCGAGCGGCGAAGCGCCCCTGGCCATGCATCTTCCCTTGTTCCATGTTTCCCTCGTAGGAACTTCCGTCGCTCCTGGGCGAAACCACGCGGAGACGACAGCGGAGGGTTCACGGAGCCGGAGATGACGGAGCGAAGCCGCTGAAAGTGGATGTTCTCGTCTTCACAAAGCGATCTGGGGTTCTCTACTTTGTCAGAGCTTCTGGGTTAGCCAAGCAGCCAGGTCTAAGGCTGGATGTGTTGACAGAATCAAGTGAACTTCTCACTCAGAATTGACCGAGTCAAATTGCAAGGGTCAACGGATTGAACTCAGCAGTGACAGTGTGAGAATGCTAGAGTTTGGCCTTCTGAAACCAAACTGCTTGT